CACCCCTTGTTATTAATTTGTAAAATGAAGCAAATCATTGACCCTTGAATTGCGCTATTATACATGCTCGAGTAATTTCATTTACAAAGAATTTCATTTATTTTATTTATTATTTACGCTCTACCTACTTCCAAAACAATGTGGACTGATCTATCTTAACTAATTATAATTTACATCAAATGTGCTTTTTTCCTAAGACGTGTTCTCATGAAGACACATCTTTACTCACTGTTTCACAGATGCTGTGCTATGGTGCTATGGTATTATACCATATCTCAGCCACCTGAAAATGACTGAATTAACAACACATGGAGTAATGGCTTCAGAAATGGTGTGGCCCATTGGAAAAGAACACACAGTTTAGAGTTATGTATCTAGTTCTTAGAATTATGTGATCTTGGGAAAGTCATATACCATTTCTTTCTCAGGTCTCTTCAGATTTCATTGTAGGAATTAGAGCTACAAGTTGTGTTTCATTGCCTCTACAGTTAGCACTCTGGAAGCCTGGGGAGAAAGGATTGCCATGAATTTAAAGCTAGCTTGACTCACATAGTTTCAGGCCTGGTGGGTTCTGCAGTGAGACAGTTTCAAAAAATTAAATTTCCTAAAGATGTAGGGGTTTATTTTCTGTAGCCTTACAGTGTGATAATAATGCAATAAATATAAAATGTCATGAAATGCCATCTTTTCCCTATTGTTAGTACTAGGTAGGGCAACTGGAAATTGTAGAACAACATTTGTGGTTTTGAGCCCTAGCAGACAAATGACAAAGAGTGATGACAAAACAAAATGCCTAATTTATGGAATTCAGGGTTACTATAAGGGAGGGCCCTGTATACACTGATTGTGATAGAACTCCTCATAGGGTAAGTAGTTCAAATGAAATATCCAGAAGGAAGAGTATTAAATTGATGCTCAAGTTGGAGAATAGGTGAAAAATAGAGTAAAGCAATCTTGTGGGGAATTTCTTCAAAAACACAAACCTTATCACCAGTATCACTTATTTAATTGGCCTTTATGTAGTTTTGTTTTCTATATGCTAAGAACCTCTCAGCAGTAGACTCTTTAATCCTATTAGTCTGAAAATTGTTTCTTTTACGTGATGTGAACATTGCTGTCCAGAGGATCTTATTGTCCATGGGTCTTCCGTTTGCTGGTAGAACTGGGATTTGAATTAGGAAGGTCTAGAATTAACCCCTTAACCAAAATGCTTTAACATCACCCATTGACACAGAAGTGCATTCCTCTGTTTGAATCTGCTACTAGACTCCCTTCTCTGATGTCCTGACATGTAGTTATTCGGATTTTTGACTAATGGGAGAATGGAAAAGGTCCTAAGTATCTCTAGAACTACCAACCACATTTATTAAAGTTCGAATGTAAACCCAAATCTCCATCCCTTGTAACATTCACTCATTGGTCCTGTGCCTGGTTTGCTGCCATCCCTCAGATTATACATTCTTCCACATGATAACTTTTAGAGTGTTATAAAAAAATTACCCGTGCTTTGGCATTGAATTCTGCATTGCCTTTCCCATTTGTTTGGGTATGCAGATAAAAAAGAAAGTGGAATTTAAGAATAATTGGACTGCTTTGAGGCCCCTGGTCTCTACTACGTGTTCAATTCTGAGCCCTCACTAGGACTCTTGCTGGACATCACACTAACTCCCTGTGTTGCTGAGGCCCTGCAGTGTAGGGTCTGCAGGTCAGGTCCCTTCACATGTTCTAGCATATCATAAATGAGGTGGATTTGGGGCCATGAACCAGACCAATGACTGTTTGTGATGAATACTGGCAAGTAGAGATGTACATACAAAGGAGTATATGGGGTGACTTGTTGGGTCACACTGATGCTTCCATGGCAACGTTTATAGTTCCTTCCCCTTTGTTATTTTTCTCATTTTATTTTCATTTTTTCTCTTGAATATTGTTTTATTTTGGGGGTACAGAGGTGGAGGGCAGATGCAAAGGGACGGGGAATGAATGGAATCAAGATACATGATGTGAAAAACACTTAGAATCAATAAATTTATTTTAAAAAGAATAGTTAGAAGGCAGACCTGGGACATGGTTTGGAGTTTAAGTGTACTGGATGTTCTTCCAGGGATCCCAGGTTCACTTTCCAGTACCTATATGGTGTCTCACAACTCTGTAACTTCCAGGGGATCTGAAAATACGAAACCCTTTTCTGGCCTCCATGATCCGCACATGATATGATTCACGGACTCAGAAATGCAGGCAAAATGTTCATACAAAAAAAGGTAAAAAATAAAAAGGGATAATTAGAGTATCCCATTATTTCATTGAATACTTATTATGTGCAAAATGTAGCAGATGCTACAATTTGGAGAGAGTGTGAATAGCACCAGATTCATATATATTCATATCTATAATCATGCATGTGCTCTGCTTTTTTATTGTTAGCTAGGATGCTGCAGTTATCTTTAAGATACAAATTGATGGGTAGATCTGTTGCCTGTACTTACTTAAGTCACGTTTTAAATAAACACCAGCTTGCTAGGTGCAGCACAGGATTGCAAATCCATGTGCAGAGACTGCTAATGACCCTTGTATTTCTCACAGTGCCTAGCCCTAGTCCTTTTACAACCTAAAGAGCGATGGAAATTTTTGAATGAATGAATGATTGAGCAAGTGGATAAGTGATTGAAAGACTACAGCATAATATTCGTTAATGGTGTGCTTCATGTCATTGTTCATGTGATACCCCCATGAATTCAATTCAATAAGAAAGACTGTTCTATTCTGTGTGCAAAATTTCTTTAAAGTTTTGTTTGCCAGGTTAAAAAATAGAGAACTAGTGATTTCCCCAGAAATATCTGAATGAAGTATTTGAAAGACAGCAAGGTAATACATCAGCCAGAAGTATATGTCTTTATAGTATTGATCAGTCCCCAACTCTATTTAAAAGACTTGCTGTTATCATCTGAGAAACTGTCTGCCACCACATGAGCCCAGTAGAGGCATTTTTTAGGTTATCACCATGGGGTGCTCCTATGGTGCCAATTATTCTGACTGACATTGTTATCCTAGTTGAAAATGCAGTAAAACTACTGAATCTGTACCCTAACCATTCAAGTGGCTTTTGTATGAAGCATCACAAAGTCACACAGGCAAGTTCAGAGCAGATTTTAACCCTGAAATGTTATCATTTCGTAGACATTGCTTTGTATGCGTGAGATATTTCTGTGTGTATGTATCTATATCTATATCTAGATATTTACATAACATTTTATGTCTGAAATACTTATGTATTTTCATTGTGTATGAATAACTGATAAAATATCCTGCCTATGTTCAAAAACTTCCTCTGTCTATTTGTGAATAGATGGTTATTCTTTCTACTCTCTCATTTGGTAAAATCTTAGCATCATGCATTTATTAATTTCCTGATAATTAGCACTGATAGGAAATATTTATATTTCATAAGTTTTAAGTTGTTTAAAAATAAATTGGTATTGTATTAGGCAAGAACTTGATTGAAGTGATTTCACAATACAACCTAAGATATAATGGGATGGGAGAGGTTCCTTCATTATGTAGGAGATTCTGACAGTACTAGGCTATAATTAATTAACATTCTATTAATGATCTGTAAGGAGTATCAGTAAACAACACTTTAATTAAGTTCATGGGTAATAAATTAATGGGTGTAGAAAATATCACTGAAGACAGGAAAATAATTCAAAGAGACCAGAAATAATACAAAATGATACTGTAACGTGAACTGACTTACTTGTCATCCCCTACTCCACCAACATATGTTCCTTGCATTTGTAGGTTTATGGAAAAGAAGGAAATAACTATCTTGTCAATCATTGTATAGTTTCATGATAGAATGGCTTTTTTATGAGTTGGGTTCTGAATATATTTCTTCATATAGTATTTCAGATTTGTGCAACTTAGGAAGAAAATGACTAATTATGTCATCCAAATGACAGATTTATGAAGAATGTAACTTATATTGAATACAAGCTAGTAGCCATTCCTAGTAAATGCATTCTCTGATTTCCTATGCTCAGAAGCATTTACCACAATTCCCAAGGTCTAATATCTATTTAATGGTAGAGCTGTATTTGAGCCCTGGTACTTCTAAGACATGTCCAATAATAGTATAATAGATGGTATATTTCTGCATATGTGATATAGGTTTGGAGGCATTTATTATGGACTAATTGGTCTATTGCTCTGAGAAACAAGTACGTAAATTACAGTCTTTGATTGTATGGGATCATTTCATTGAGTTAATATTCGTGTTCGGGTAGTGTGTGTGTGTGTTATAATTTTTAATTTTCCAGGAAAAAATGCTGCCATTAAAGAATCGCTTGGTGTATTCTGACCTCACAAAAACCTAGATGGGCAATCGTTTGAAAATCCATTTGTTCCTCTAGTTCTGATTCTGCATCTGTAAAAGTGAAGTTGAACTGGAGAGTGCTCCGAGTTCTGTGTAGCTCTGTTCTCTTCTCAGGGCTTCTAAATACTGTTTCCATTTCAATGTCAATGCTATATGAAACTTGCACGAAAGACAATAAAAATTGGCAAATAGAATTAATATCATTAGAAGAAACGAGTTTATGGTATACCTTGCATTAGGTTGGTTTGCTCTTTTTTTTCAATAGACTTGCAAACATCGTATTAATAACTAAAGTCTGTAGTTTACATTACAGTGCACTTCTTGTCTTGTACATTCAATAGATTGCTGTTGTGGTCCCTGCAGTCCTTAGCAGCTGTGACCTTTTATTTTATTTGGAGGTGCTTTCCGAGTTTGATGAGCAAACCCAGAATCCTGGACATGCTAGATATATTCTTTACAACTCAGCCCCACTACTGATCATTTTACTGTGCCCATAGATTTGCCTTTTACAGAAGGCCATATAGTTGAAATCATACAGTATGGAACTTTCTCCAATTCATTTCTCCTCATTTTCTCTCTGTTTGCTGTGATGATGATGAAATACAGATCAAAACCAACTTGGAGAAGAAAGGGTTTATTTCAGATTGCATTCCATCAGTTAAGGGAAGCCAAAACAGGAGCTTGAAGTAGAAACCACAAGGGATGCTGCTTACTGCCTTGCCTCCTACCCTCTGCTTCCCTAGCTTTTTTATACTACGCAGGGTAGGGATGGTACTGGCTAAAATGGGCTGGACCCTCCTACATCAGTTACTAATCAAGAAAATGCCTCACTCACATGCTCATATGCCAGCCTGATCCAGGCAAACCCTCCAACTGGCATGCTTTCTGATAAGTCTGGGGTATGTCTGGTCCCCTCTGCCAAAACTAAGACACTTGTCAATAACTATTCCCCACATCCTTTTGATGATAAATGGCTTATTTCTTTTCTTTCCCATAACTTTATTAATGTTGAGAGCATTCAAAATTCTCTGTAGTATCTTCAGATATCTGACTTGAAATATCCTTTTGGCTAAGTGACAGCCCTTAGTGGTTCAAACGCTAAGAATTCTTTTACTTGCTTTTTTTCAGATATAATAAAAGCTTTATTGGTTAACCCACCCTTTACTAGTGTTCCAATCACAGGCACCACATGTGCTGGAATAGTACTTTCC